AACCAAAGCCCTAAACCAAAACGCCAACTCGACACCGTAAACCGTCAAACCTAAACCCTGAACCCTATATGGGGATTGTCCTAAATTACTGTCAATACGGGGTCCTATATTTGGGTTCCTATTATAATACGGGGCCCTATATACATTTCCCCCATTTTGGGAACAGTAATTTAGGGAAATCACCATATCCTTAATCATGGGTTTCCTTAGCACCCCCCAACTACACCATCACCCCTGCAGGTTCCATCTTGACTAGGGTCATTTAGAGATAGCTAGGGGTTTGGGCTTCAAGGGTTCCATATAAGCGCGCCCCATGCTAAACTTACGGATTTTCAGCTTACAGGTTAGTTTGTTTTGGATTTGGGTCCAATGTTCACGGGGCCTCAATCCCCGCACTCCATGGTTTCAGTGTTTTGGGTTTGGCTCCCAAGCCCTCACAGCCCTAAACCTCGTGCGCAGGCTGGGCTTCACGGCTGTCAGTTCAGGTAATGAGGACCCCCACTCACTAGTGACCATAAGTTAAAACATGGTCCCTACAGCATGCAGGGCAGCGTTGCGGTCCTAAACTCCTTGCAAAATTATGGTATATGGCACCTCGAACAGGCCTTTAGAGTTTAGGGGTTAGGGTTTAGGGTCTAGACTACCCCCATTATGCCACTAATTATTGAGGACTTTGTTGCAGTTTCGGCTCCACATCCACGTAACCACGTCCCCAACCCCTGATATTATTCAAGGGGTCTCCCTATGATGCCTGTGCAACTAGAGTCAGAGTGCATATGAAAGATCAGGGACTGTGGGGTGTTTGTTTTCAATGAGGGAGGAATCATTCTGGTGGAGCCCCTTTCAAATATTTCAGTTTCCGTTTCATAGCCCATGTGATTCTCCAAGATGGCAGGGATTACGCAGATGTTTCTTGTTTCGCCTTCAGGCATGGAGGAAAGTGAGTGTATCAACATGTAGTGATTGGGGATCTTATCACGGTGCAGTTTGTGATGTATTGCTGATGATGAGAACACGTAGAATGATGAGAGTACTGAACAATGCAATTAAGAGCCATAATGAGGATAAAGATGATGACGGCGGCCGTCGGGGCGGTGGCGGTGGCATTGGTGGTGGTGGTGGTGGTGGTGGTGGTGGTGGTGGTGGTGGTGGTGGTGGTGGTGGTGGAGGTGGAGGACTATTTACAGAACACCCAAGATACCTCGTACAGTAGCTTTACCAACGTGGCCTTGGTAACCCTAACCCTTCCACTCAGGGACCCTATACGAGTCATGCCGCAGTCATGGGGCCCGCATGTTAGGGATTGGGGGGCCAAAATCCCCTCCCTGAATTTGGTAGCTGCGCATGTAGACTTTGACTTCTCCGGGTCTACCTAGTCTTGCTCTTATCATAAGGCTCACCTTTATGGTAACCCGGGGTTTCAGTAGCGAAAGTAGAGGCCCAACAGTTGAAACATGGAACTCGGATTGTTTATGCTATTTGCCCGTTTTTCGTGCCTCTCAGGGGAAAGGGTTTATAGTCCCCCTGAAGTAGCTAGAATATGGGGTATATGGGGATCTTAGTATAATATACCAAAGCCGTATTCTATCTGCTTAAGGGGGACTATAGGGTAGTGGGGTTATAAGGCTTGGCAAGTTCCAACTTCCTGGCTCTTGCAGCAACCCTAAACCCTAAACCTTGCAGCAACTCCCCCCCCTCGCCCGAAACCCTAAACCTTGGACCTTTCATCCACAACCCAACCCTAAACGGCCCTAAATCCGTTTAGGGTTTAGGGTTTAGGGGTGGTTTAGGGTTTAGGGGATTAGGGTTCAGGTTTAGGTAAGTCTGCAACCCTAGATCAAAGGACCCGTCATCCCCATAACCCCTAAGCCCTGAACCCTGAAGCTTTCACTCCTGTTCTACACCCAAGCAGGCCCCAAATTCCAGAACCGAAGCCCAGCCCAAGTTTTCCCGTTCGGGTTTAAGGTTTAGGGTTTAGGGTGTAAGGTTCAGGGGTTTAGGGTCTAAGGTACTACTGACCCTAAACCCTAAACCCATTTCTTTTGCTGCAGAGGCAGGAATCCTTCCTCGTGGAGATGTAAGCCTCGGCCTGTGGCGGCCTCCTGAAGGTCGGGGAACTGTCAGGGTTTACCGTTTTAAGGGTTTTTAGGGCGTAATCTTTAGGATTTAGTGTCTGGGGTCTAGGGTTTGGGGTCTAGGGGCTGTTGTCAAAATTATGGGCCCCTTTTGGTTATCGACTGTTACGGCACCTTTACCCCCTCTATACTCCCCCCTGTGGTTTTAGATTTTAGGGTTATTGAGGGGTAATAAGGCCTAATGAAGGTTAATCAGGGCAACCTTGTGGGGATAGTATAGAGGGGGGGGTAGTAGGGAATCCATGAAGAAAAAATAGGGCAACACCCCAAAACTCCCACAAACCCTAGGCTCGATGTGCGAAGCCCGTATCAACAAGGACTGAAAGGGTAGTTCCCAAGAGTATTTTCTTATTTTGATGATTTAGGGTTTAGGGTCTAGGGGATCCTATATTGAGCACAGATTCTATAGTAGCTTGCTTTGGGAACAGAAATCTGAGGCTTGGGCTTTAGATTCAGGGTTCGCGGTTTAAGAGTTCGAGTTTATTCCGCCACTTACAGCCAACTGCTGAGCAGAACGCGTCCCGCCATCAACGGTTCGTCAATGGACTACTTCGTCGTGATGCGGGTTTCTTGCTACGTTTCATGGTCCGTGTTTCGGTCTTGCAAGGATTGCAACAGGCTTGTTCTGTGCTATGCGACTGTTTGGCAATGTGGTGAGTGGTAGTATGAGCTACTCCTGGCCAATGACAAGACATGAGCAGTTCTGCATTTGGTGAGATACTAGTGTTGTTGAAATTCTTGGGCGAAGCTGCACATATCATACGTGCCTTAAAGACCTTGGAAGACATTGGATTGTTCTTGCCCACTAAATCGTTTGTTTCCGCAACGAATTCCTAGGTTGTGATTTGAGCCTGCAGCAAACCCTACTTTGGAGCCGGAAAGTGGCCCTTATTGTAATACTCCTTAGTAAGGCCTTAACTTTGGACAAGTCAATTGTAAGCCCTGCAGTAGGAAGAAAGCAAACAGCAATGGGCCGCTTTGACCGACGTTGGCTCAAGCAAGGATTGGTGCCTGAGGCCACTGCATCACGAAGTGACTTCCGACTCTTTCCGAAACCTTCGCAACCATGCGTGAAGCAATCTGCATCCACATCGGCCAGGCAGCTGGGAGTTTGGGCTTGTGTTCTGTTCGGTGCTATGCAGGTCGTGTGGGTGAGGGGGAATTGGGGCCTTAAGTTGCTGGATGGGTTGGGGGTTCCCTTGACTTTATTTGAGCTATAGTCTAAACTCCTTGAAGGGCGTTATATAGGGGATTATATAGGGGACTACTAGAGGGCTTATTACGGAGGATACTAGGAGTTTAGACTATAGCTCATTTGAGTCAGCGCTCACTTCTCAGCCAGAGTCCTGTGCCAGGGTGGCGTGCAGATCGGTAATGCTTGCTGGGAGCTCTTCTGCCTCGAGCATGGGATCCAGCCTGATGGCCAGATGCCTTCGGACAAGACGTGCCTGGTCTACCTGAAGGTGGTCACTTTTCGGGGGGGGGGGGGATTGCAGTGTTACAGGCATTGCACGGCGTTCAGAAAACCTTAGAAATAGTTCCGCTTTCTTTTCCGTTATCCCTATATAACACTATAACACCAATATACATGGGGCAGGAAATCTGACTTCAGGTTTGAAGAGTTGAGGGTTAGGGCTTAGGGACTAGAGATTGAGGGTTTAGGGATTCAGGGTTTAGGGATTTTACGGTTTAGAGTTTAGGGATTTAGGGATAAAATGGAATCTACTATTTAGGGTGTAGGCCCCAGTGGTACCCTAGAGTATAGCTTCCATGTTCGGGATTTCAAGCTCACGTGCCATCCACGCGTGGAAGCTCGAGTCTCATCCAAAGCCTTAAGCCCTAGACCTCACATTCTCAACTCTAAACCCTAAACCCTAAACCCTAAACCCCAAACCCTAAACCCCAAACCCATTCCCAAGACAGCTAAGGATCGGTGGGGGAGATGCGCCTCCGCGGAATGTAGCATTTTTGAAAGCTGAGAGGCCCCGGAAGGAATTATGTAGGGTTTAGCTGGGCAATTTACGGCGACCTCACCCGACCTCACCCTAAATGTTGGTTTATATGGGGAATACAACTAGAATGGCCTTAAATAGGGAATTGAAATTATTCTAAATTGCCTTGGTTCAGGGTAAATGTGGATGATATTACCTTCTAATGAAGAATCAAATGGAGAAGAAGCTGGAAAAGGACGTGGAAACTGAGCCTATATAGGTGATTAAGGCCACACTAGTATGTAGGGTTCAGGGTGTCTAGGGTTTGGGGTTTGGGATTCACTTGGAGGTTCAAGATAAGTGTACCCAAGTCAATATGCCGTAGGGAATGCAGTTCTAAGTAAGATGTAATTGTTACCCTCAACCTCCAAGAAGATGGTGTAGCCTTTAGGCTCCAGGTTCTCATGCATGCATGCATGACATTAAGACTACCCAAAAGAGAGCCGCTCCATTTTCATACTGCCCTGAAGAAGCATGGAAACCCCAAACCCCAACCCCCTAAACCCTAAACCCCTAAACCCTAAACCCGGCATTTGGACAGCAGAACGCTGGAACAAGTATCAAGACCGCCAGACATATTACAGTGCCTCAATAATTACACGTAGGAGGGTTTAAATAGGGTTTAGGGGTTTAGGGGCTTTGGGTTCAACCTTAAAAGTCATCGCAATTTCCATGTCATGTTCCATGATCTCTTCCACTTGAGATATCTTTTTTGAAGTGATATCCACAGATAATGATACGATTGATGTTAGAGATACTGCGCGACCTTAGTATACAAAACTAACATAAGTCCCAACGTATAAGGTACAAGGGTCATGCTGGGACTTTTCAATCCACCGTATTGGTAATTATTTAACCCTAAACCCTGCATGAGTCAGTTTGTGTCTGACCCAGCCATGGGCACATTTGTTAGCAATCCACACTAAGCGCTCAACTAGGTTTTGGTGACTCCCCAAGTTTCTTCGGATCCCGTTACAATCATATGAGCCGTACAGGGTCCTAATTTTGGGGGTTGGGTCACAAAAAGCCTCTCAGGCTTTAGAGTGGGGGTCTACATTTTAGGGTCCAGGGACTTTGAAGAAAGTTCTTTTGCTAATCCTGTCTTTCCAGAAGCTGCTCTCATCTGCTTATCATTCCCATATCCTAGGGTCCTTATGGGCAGAAATTTGAGGACCCCCCCCCCTCCCATCTTCCCCCACGCAATATTCATGTAGCCATCATATGCCTCCCATTCTTCCCGTTTAAGCCTTATGTATAAAGCCTTGTGCAAGCATAACCACCTGGGCCTGGGAAGCCTCCACCTGAAACTCCTACACCTTTTTATCATCTACACATTATATATACACCGGTATATACAGACCTTATATAAATAGGCATATATATATATACCTCTATCAAATCCTCTATGTAAGCCCTCACCAGAATATTTCCTTGATGTTTTTCAGAGTGTTTGAGGCTCCTGGGACTAAGAACGCAATTCAGGTAAGGTTCAGGGGTGGCTGTTCAGGGTTTAGTGGATGTTTAGGGTTAGCAGGTTTTGGGGTTCAAGGCTCAGGGCTTGCAACTGCCCCAGAGGGACGTGGGCGGCACGGCGCGAGAAAGCTAAATCCCAACCGAGGACCATCCAAGTCTGTTTTTTCAGGCTTTCTGGTTTAGGTGCCGAGAAGTTTCGCAATGCGAGTTCATGATGCGTGTATCAGATTTTCACGAAGAAGCCTCACACACGCCGTGATTTTTCAAAACTGCCGTATAAACGGGCATGCGAGTGGAGCGATGGCGCAACGCAGCGGCGCAGTGGCAAGGAAGCAGGTTAAAACGAGGCAAAGAATAGACGACGAGAGAGGCTGATCGGCGAGAACAGTGGCCGCTGGAGGCGAGCAATGAAAACATGAAAACGTCCCGCATGCGGCCGCGATCCGAGCGACGACGAGATGCTTTAGCGCGCTAAAGCAGGGTGTTGACAGGTCGTGTAGAACAGCTAGCCCTGAAGGATCGTTCCACCACGAAATGCGCGTTGTGCGAGGCCCGGCGGCTGCTCAGGCTGAGCTGATGGTCCAATGCCCCAGTAAGAAAACTCCTGGGACATTTGGAGGACAGGTCTCCAGCCGTCTGACTGGCGCGCCAGGAACCCCCACCCTTGTAAAGAGCCTTTATATGTCCCAGCAGCCGCATCCGGCGTCGAAGCCTGAAGGAAAGGAATCGAACAATTCCCTGAGCGCCTTGCAAACCTTTTCAAATTGTTTACCTAGACCCGAACATAGCTTTCCGCAAACCCTGAACCCTAATCCTCATCCTAAGCCTAGAAATTCACCAATCAAAGATCCAGCCCAGGACGCCTTCAACACCTTCTTCAGCGAAACAGGCGCTGGCAAGCACGTCCCCCGCTGCGTAATGGCTGCACGGCTGAGCGCTTATTGGGTTAAGGCATTTTTGGGGGCTTAGAGTTTCGCGTTTAGGGTGCGTGGCTTGGGGCGTACAACTTATGCTTAGGGTTTAGCTTTTAGGGTTCATATTTTTGAGGTTTCGGGCGTAGGGCTTGGTGTTCCGGGTGAGCTCAATGCAGCCAGATTGATGACGGAATTTGTTGGTGTTTGAAGCGTCAGCAGCAACGATTGTTTCTATGCACGCACCAGGAAAAAGATTCTCATATGCCCGAGGCATTCACTAAAGTTCAAGTACGAACATTCTCGCACAATTGCCTTCAAACGACAAGTGCCTTCCAAAGCAGTTTGTAGGCTCTGTATGGGGTGTCACAAGGAGGCATTACATGATCAGTTCATCCCACCCGCCGGAAGCTTCGTTGGAATAGAGCCCTGGTATGAATCCGATGGATGGGCGAAATCTTCCAAGGTCCTTAGCCATGTAGCCCTCTTGGATTGATAGGGGTTTGTACATATTACTCGGGACCCGGTAGCTCCCAGCCTTACACTTTTGCTTGTTTCTAAACTTTATAGCTCAGAAGGCCTAAAATTGAATATCGCAAAACCCCAAAGCCGTTGACGGTGAGCCTTAAGCCTTTCTCGTCACAAAGCACGCAAACGATTAACTCAGGTGCAAACTTGGCGCCGCATTTACCACGCCGTAAGCCCCGCTTAAGGCCTCGGTTTTTGCCTCAATTTCCCCTCCCTTGTCTCCCCCTTTGGTTTGGGCCCTGCTTCGGTTCCCCCCGCTTTAGGTTCTTAGGGATGGGTTTCCTTTAAACTCTCTTGTGGGACTTGCCGCCTGGCTCCCGCTTGCGCACTACAACACTCCACAGAGTTTTTGTTCTTGTCGCTGCAAATTGGCACTTTGGCCAAGCCGTGAAGGCTATTTCTGCGCCTATCCCATCAGCCAGGATGGCGCATTTACAGCAAAATAATAATGCTCAGGTCGATTTGGAGCCCACGGTCGTGGATGAGGTGTGGATAGTAGCGTGCAGCGTGGGTGTCGCACGTATTGCGGGTAAGGGCTTAGGGGTCAGGGTTTACGGTTCACATTTTGTCTTCAGAGTTTATTGCTAAGTGCATATGCTACGTTGTTAGTTTCAACATATAGGATCATGCAAAGTTTCTTGGTCCAGCACGTGACGGCTTTTTGTGCTCAAGGACAACTTCTGTTCTCATGCCCTAAAGTTTATGGAAGACATCTTGAACCGTACAGGAAAAATACAAAAGTGTAGCTGCAACCTGCATGTTTACAAGGGCCCTTGAGAAACGTATTCAGGCCTGATTGCTTTCCTGCAAGATGTTTCGTGACGCGTATCGCTGTGATCCTAACGGCAACTTGCAAGTTCTTAGGAATCTCGGTTGCCTTTCCTTACAATGTCTAGAGGGAGGCGCCGTCCGCAGCCTCCGGAATTCGATGTTTTTCCGAGGGCCGTTGGCCTTGCCCAACTCCAACATGCCATGCCCAGAATCCCTACACCGCTAAACCATGAAACCCTAAACCCGATACCGTAAACATTTCCCAAATCCTAAGTCCTCAGCCCAGAGCTCCTCATATCTTGTCACAATGGTTGAGAAGCTCTAGGTCGCGGGACCTGAGTCCAGAAACCCACGACCTTAAATCCTGAATGAACCTATAGACCCCAAAGAGTCCTAAATCCTTAACCCTCGAATAACTAGCTGTATCCCCAACCATTCCCTACTTGGAGGCCCATGGGACTTAGTCACTACTTCTAACTGGGCTTATAACCTTACTTATAATCCCCCTAAATGGGCTTAAAGGGGTTATCCCAATTATAAGTAGGGTATAGTAGGGTTATAATCCCAGTTATAAGTAGTTACTAAGTCCCATGGGCCTCCAAGTATCCTACGTTCGTGCGGGCCCCCAGCTCATAGTGCTCCTGGGAGGCTCGGGAGTGTGTGGCTAATGGAGTGTTTCAGAATATCCTCACGTAGCTTTGTAGTACCCAGACACCAAAAGTATGTAGAATGGTGGCCTTTTTCGCAGTTTTTCTGCGGGCCTTCAGCCAAAATGTTACCAACTTCTGAGGTCCAGTAAGTGCATCTATTCAATTTCACTTCCCCATATACACCAGCAAGCCTCACGTGCGCAAAGGCCTTAAGTTAGCTTTAAACCCATGTCGGGGTTTCCGTATAGGCGACCCCGGGTAGACCTGTTATAACCCCTGATTTCTGGAACTCCTTGAATATGCCTAAGCCCTAGACGCTAAGCCTTAAACCCTAAACCCTAGACGCTAAGCCCTGAACCCTAAACCTTATCCTTAAACCCTAAACCGTCAATAGTAGTTAAGTTTTCATTTAATTTTCCATTATCCCAATATAAACGCAACATAAACCCCAAATCCTGAACCCTAAACCCGAAACCCTAAATCCTAAACCCTAAACCCCAATATAATCCCTATATAACCCCATCCTGCAGGTGCGCACGGGGACCTATCGTCAGCTCTTTCATCCGGAGCAGCTCATCTCGGGCAAAGAGGATGCGGCGAAGCTTGGTATTTTTACCAAAGGGTCCATGTGATTATAACTTAGGGTTTAGGGTTTAGATAGGGTATATATGAGCTGTAGTCTAAACTCTGTAATGGAGTTATAGGGGATTAAATAGGCTAAACTCCTTAAAGAGGGTTATACAGGTGATTGTACAGGGGATTATTATAGGGGATATTAAGGGGGATACTAAGAGTTCAGACGATAGCTCATATGGAAAATACTTAGGACCGCAAGGAGTTCCCATATAGCTACTTTGGGGCCCAAGTGTACAATACTACTATTCATTCCCCCCCAATACCCCATAGGGGTAATGTAGGGGTTGTATGGGGGATGATGGAACTGAACATGGAGACTACTATAGTACAGGGTTTAGGGTTTAGGGCTTAGATAGGGTACAAGGTTTTTAATTTATAGCTACATGGACCCTTTGGGCTTACGGTTGGGGGAGGGGAGGAGGGGTTTTAGGGCTTTGGGCGTCAGATTATTAGGGTCAGGCATTGAAGCCGTTAGAGCTTAATCCAGACCCCTGATTAATGAACCTTTTCCCCTTCATAGAGATTATGATAGGGATCCTAATATTCAGGCCCCTAAAAAGGAGGGGGTTTATCAATCACGGGTCTACATTAGGATTGCGCTTTGTCGAATTCAATCAGGTGTTAAGGAGGGAAATGCAGAGGACAGTACATGGTGCTTGGGCTGGGGGTGCTCCTGGGTTCTTAGGTGAAGCGCGTTTATGCTCCAAGTATTTTGTTCAGGGGTTGAGATCATGGGTTCAACTAGTAGCCCCCTCTATACTACCCCCCCTTAGGTTACCCCCTTAATTAACCTTAATTAGGCTTAACTTCCCTAAAGAACCTTAATTAAGGGGGGAACCTAGTATAGAGGGGGATACTAGTTGAACCCATGATGAGAGGGTTAATCTCCTAAGTTTAGCCCGCAGCCCGAAATCCTAAACCCTACACCCGGAAATCTCAGTCAGTCGGTTTGAAGACTATAACTGAAGGCCTTGTGGGGTTTGGAATAGAGGGTTCCAGGCTCAGAATACAAGGTTTAAGGCTTTTGTGGACCCAGGTGGTGTGGTCTTAAGGTTATAGGGTTTATAGGGTTTAAGGTCTACGTAGGGTTAAGCCTGGGGCTCATAGGAGTTCAGGTGCATGAAGGCGCATTGGATTGACGGATTGCCTTTCGGAACGTAAGCTCAGACACGCAGAACCACAAAAAACATGCCTCCTGCAGAATTGCACGGGCGGTGCCAAACTATGGGTTATCGCGGCTTAGGGTTTAGGGGTTATCGATGTATCTTCTCGTAGAAAAACTCGGAAAGGAATAACTTTGCGCGCGGACATTACACGATCGGCAAGGAGATCGTGGACTTGGCATCTTCGGCGTGATTTGAGGTTCAGGGTTTTGGGATTGTTTGAGCTGTAGTCTAAACTCCAAAAAAAGAGTCATATAGGGGGCTATGTAGGGAACCAGTATAGGGGTTATTAAGGGGGATACTAGGAGTTTAGACTATAGCTCATACAGTAACAGTGGAAAAGACAATGGAAACTACTGTGGAAGGTTATTTTGGGATGCTAAAGTCTCCTAAGGAAGGTTTTCCTCATTTATATTGCAAAATAGCCCTGGGGAATTGTTACGAGTTATATAATCATTATACGTAGGGGGATTACAGGGAAGACCGTTGATAGGCTAGAGATTACACATCTACCCTACTGTTCAGGGTAAGGTACCGCGAAGATTGGTCTGAAGGGGCTAAAACGTTCTGTAGAACGATCAGCGCAAAGTTTCAGCTGATTGTGGCAATGGTCGAGTCTAAGTATTTAAGGGGTTTATGCGTTAAGGGTTTAGGATGGTTTAGGGTATTGTTGAAACTTGTGAAGGCCCTTTTGTGCACATGTATGCTGTTGCTTATGTTTGAAGGCACAAAACGTCAACGCAAACGTGCAATTTCTTCTCTCCAGCAGAAATGCCATTTGAGGGTTGTCCGGAAACCTTGGTACGCATAGGAAGATTAAGTTCCAAGCACGACGCAAGCCTCCCATTCAAGATGAAGGAATAATGGACTACCCCCATTTGTTGAAACCTTCCAAAACAGTCGCCAGAATTGACCAGCACTTGCAAGTCCTTGCGGGTCCGTATACTAGGGAATCTGGGTGGGCCCTAGGTTTTCAGGAGCTCCCATGCAAGCGCGCCCCGGTGAATATCTTTCCATGTTCAGCTCGCTTTGTGAAGCAAAGGTACTGGATCGCATCAGAAAGCTTGCCGACAATTGTGCCTCAACCAGAATGCATTAGGATGTGCTAGACACTCCCTAGAGCATCTAATTCCTCATTCCGTAAACCCTAAACCCTAAACCGCCGGGCACTGCACAGAAACTACCAGGCCAAATAGTCTCCTTTAAGTAGATAGAATATGGCTTTGGGTAGAATTATACTAATATCCCCATATACCCCATATTCTATCTACTTAAGGGGGATTATAAACCGATAAGGAATCCCTTTCTCAAAGCAGAGCCAGAGAATTCCAGCAGAGCCAAGCGCCCGGGGCTGACAGTCTTACAGTTTTGGATATGGGGGGTGTCCAGGGTTTAGGGTGTTTCGCGTTTAGTTTTGGACTTTAAACAGTAAGCCCTAAGCCCTGAACCCTGAAACCCTAAGACTTGGATTTGGGGTATTTAGGGGTTTAGGGGGTTCGGGTTCAGGTCTCGCATGGAACTGTTGTTTTTTGCCAGTTGCACTTCTGCTTCTTTAGAGCTTAGGTGTTAAGATTATGGCTCTGCCGCTGTTCTTGCTCTTATCCTCCTTCTGCTGGTCAAAGCCATGAAGCCCATGTCCTGATGCAGTTTCCTTTACAGTTGACCCCAAATTCTCAATCCAAAGTCCTCCTGTCCAGGCCTGAATGGTCAAGCTAGTGGTTCCCGTACAGTCCGTGCGTAAGAATGCTCCAGTATTCCCAAGATCCAGTTCCATCGACTTAGCTCCCTAGAGTGAAACCCCTAAACCCTAAACCCTCAGCCAGGAAGCCTTGATCCCTACACCGTAAGCAGCGTAGGAACTAGAAAAATGGGGTCAAAGGGTTTAGGGTTTAGGGTCCTTGGGGGTATAGGTTTAGGGTATAATGCCCGCATAATATCTTAGAAGTACCTGTTTATGCTCTACATTATAACCCCTGTGTGAACCCAGTTTCAACTTCCTGTCCCCTTTCTTGTACAGTTGATTCGCCCTTCTGGCTTAACCCTGAAGTATGCTTATTGTCTAGGCCCCTACATTACCCTCAAGCCCAAAACCCTAAACCCTAAGCCACATAGTACTCTAATTGTTTAGGCACCTACACTACCCAAGTGTGCCTGACATGCAGGTACCGGGCTTCAGGGCTTCTGCGTGTACAATGCCACTGGGTCACAGAAAGGATTCCGTGCAATAGGGCTCGGTCTTCACCTCTGTGGGCTGAGCCCAGAAGCCTAAACACCCTACCGCCCTATCCCCCTAAACCCTGAACGGGATGAGGATTCTATCCTCACGTTTTAGGGCTTTGTTGCTCATGGCTTCAGTTCAGGGGTTTTAGCGTCAAGGTCATGGGATTTAGGGTTGTTGGTTGTGACTGGTTGTGTGTGGATTTAGGGCTTAGGGTTTCTGATTTTATCCACACGATTTCGGGCATGGCGCCTAGTTCTCTGCTGTTGGTGGATCCTATTACTTAGCAGATGGGAGTGTTCAATTGATGTGTTCTGCAGCTTTGGTGGTCAACAGTGAGCGTCCTAGCATTTGTCGTGCTTGCTTCACCCTAACAGCACGGTTTAGCGTTCAGGACTTTAAGCCCTAAACCCTAAGGTCTACACCTCGTACCCTAAACCCACCTGAACCCTAAACCTTAGATCCTAAATCCTAAGCCCGAAGCCCTCAACCATAATTCCTAAATCTTAAATCCCGCGAGCAGCAAACCTTCAAGGTCTGGGCCTGCTCTGATTATAGGGTTGAGAGTTTAGGATTTGCCTGAAGTAAGTAGATAGAGTAGTGGGTATATGGGGATCTTATTATAGTATACCTAAAGCCATAATTCTTTCTACTTAAGGGGCAGTATAGCATTTAAGGTTCCGGGTTTAGGCTCCAGTGCCCATAACGGTGCATCTAGGGAATCTGCGGTCCATATCAGGGGCCCTCAGGCCTCACCCTACAAATCCCTAGTTTAGGGTTTAGGGTTTTAGGGCTTAGGGTCATCTTACAAACGCTTGGACATCCCAAACCCAAACTCCCCAAACCCTAAAGCCCAAACCACAAAACGTTACAAGCCCTTTGAGTTCAGGCTTGTGGTGGTGGCACAGGATCTGGTCTGGGCTGCCTGACGCTCGATCTGTTTGGGGGGTTCACCCAAAAATCAGTGTACCTTTTTCTTACGGGGGTTTTGGGTGCAGGGGAGAGTGTTTGTACTAAGTATTACTTACTGGCGATTAGGGAATAAGGGAATATATGATGTAGGGATTTTGTGGGGACTGTTTTCCCGTATTTCTTACTAACCACTAGTAAGTGTTGGGAGCGCCCAAAGCAAGGCTTTCAGTGTTTGCGCTGTAAGAGCCGCCTTAAGTGCAAAGTGCACTTTGCATCTTCCAATACTGGACACTTTCTGGGTTTATGGCCTGTGGGTCACGGATATGGCTATGGGGGTAAGAATAATTCAAGCGTCCCCAAGAAAACTATGATGGAGATCTCTGTTTGATGCACTCCAGTTTCAGGACTGGAAACGATTCTTTCATCAGGAAGAGTTCTGTTCGATTGTTCAATAGGGGGTGGCTGCATAGGGGGTGTGACGAGGGTTTTGACTAAAGCGACGTTGACAGTTTGCATTTACATTTTCTCGTGTTCCAGGAAAACACCAACATGTCGTGCTGGTGAGCTGTCTTAAAGTCAGCCTGCTTTCGGGCAGCCTTTTTTAGCATCCCGTTTTTGCGACCGTTAGTGAAAGTTGCTTGCGAATGATTTGGAATTTAAAGTTTAGGACCCAGCAAGCGGTGTTTATTCCTCCACGCAAGGATCTGTTCATGGGTTCTTCAGGAACGGGACTAGAACCCCTATAGTTTCCATTTTATTTTCCATTATCCCACATATAATATACTCCCATAATCCCTATACGACCCCATATAACCCGGGCTCTATAGGAATGCACAGAGATAGAGCATGCCCAGCTTCCCAGGACCATGCAAGTTGATCACAGTTCATTCAAGAAATGCGCAACCAGGAATACGCGAAGCCACTAGGCTTTAGGCTTTAGGGTTGAGGGTTTAGGGACTACAGTGATGTTCGACTTTCCCATAAATTCGTACCATTGCATGCTCAAGTAGCTTTCCAAACCTTCAAACCCTAAACCAGCCATCGTCTCTAACTTTTGACGAAGGATGCTGGAGCGGTTGTCGGTGGACTATGGCCCCTTTTCTGGATGTGTGAGGCAGTCAGCTTAGAATCCGAATCAAGTCAGGGTATCATGTCATAGCGGGGTATTGCAGGGTATAGAAGCCTACCTAGGGGTGTTACATATAGGGTATAGAAACTTCAACTTACAAAGGTGTATGATAGTGTGTATAAGCTTACATAGGGGCATCATCGGGAGTATAAAGGAACATTTGACGATTTCACCCTCCGTCATAGGAACAAGAACCCCAAAAAGGACCCCGCAAAGACCACGGTCCTTTTGTGTACAACGGTGTTTCATGCGGTTCCAGTGTTGTAATGGTACAATGCATGCTTCAGATGTCAAAGTGTGAGATGGAAAGGATGCGACCCACACCATTTCCCAACGCCGAACCCCAAGCGCGCTCAACCCCAAATCCCACAACCTACTTCCCAAGCCTTAAGCATTATTGAGGCAAGAAGAGCAAGATCTCATTCACAGTCTGGTGCTGCCCTCAAGTTGCCACTGCCGTGGTCGAGCCCTACAACACTGTCTCTTGGTCCAATGGTGGCTGACGATTTGGGCTTTAGTGTGTAATCTCTCTGAGATACAGGATTCAGGATTCACGGGAGTGTGCAGGGTTTAGGGTTTGCATTTATTCGCACTTGTAAGAACATCATGTCTCTGTCAATCTTGGCGACCATTTTGAGAAACAGGGTTGTTATGCTCATAGATTTGGCATGCCTACAAGAAGGTTTACATTCTCCTGCGCGGTATACAGAGGGGGACCCACATGTCCAGGTCTTGTGCGTGCACTCCCTCCTCGAGCACACGGACGTGACAATCATGTACGACAACGAAGCCTTGTACGATATTTGCCGCAGGCAACTTGGCAGTTGATCCACACTTGAAGGGTTCACTGCTTACAGTCCCCCTTACGTAGATAGAATATGGTGCATAAGGGATCTTATTTATAATATACCCGAAGCCATATTCTATCTACTTAAGGGGGACTATAGATCCAGGGTTTTGGATGCAGGTTTAGGGCTTTGCCTCCTCCAAACTAACATTGCACGAGGCCTAGGAAGATTATACTGCCCCTCAAGGATTTTCATAGTCCCTTTGTTGGCACGCATGCATTCCGGCTTGCCTTGCTGCACTAAACCATTTTGCCCTGAGCAGTTTGACGCAGCTGCAGGAACTTGGACATCGAGCGCCCCACGTACACGAATCTGAATCGTCTCATTGCCCAGATCATCTCAAGCTTGACTGCGTCCCTGCGCTTTGACGGAGCCTTGAACGTGGACATCACGGAGTTCCAGACCAATCTTGTCCCCTATCCTCGCATCCACTTCATGTTGACCTCCTATGCCCCGGTCATTTCTGCGGAGAAGGCCTACCATGAGCAGCTGTCTGTGGCTGAGATCACCATGTCTGTGTTCGAGCCGGCGTCCATGATGGTGAAATGCGATCCTCGTCATGGTGCCTTGGCCGTTGGTAAGAAGACCGGGGAAGAGGTGTAAGAATGAACAACGTTGCATAGATATAGCCTTCCCTTAGGTACATAGTGCGGTAAGTTGTTTTTTGTTTTTGAGAGTTCTATATTCCATCTACTTAAGGGGGACTGTATGACTATGTGTCCATCTAGAAACATGTGACCTGCGATCTGCCAGGCAAGTACATGGCCTGCTGCATGATGTATCGTGCGGAGCTCAGATCATACAGACAGTTCTTGCAAGGGCACCTAACAACCAGTTACTTGCTAATCCGCAGGTCAGACATGTATCGACATGTTTGCCATCCTTTTAGTTCTAGTTGTTGTTCTCAAAGGGCTCTGGCTACAGCTTGAGGCGGTGACGTCGTGCCCAAGGATGTGAATGCTGCTGTGGCAACCATCAAGACCAAGCGCACCATCCAGTTCGTGGACTGGTGCCCCACCGGCTTCAAGTGCGGCATCAACTACCAGCCACCCACCGTGGTGCCGGGTGGTGACCTTGCCAAGGTCATGCGTGCCTGCTGCATGATCCTTGGCAGAATTTGCAGGGAGTGACATTTGCGAAAGGAAGTGGTCGAAGCAGTTCTGCGCTGATTTCACCTGGCCAGGATTTCAAACAGCACGGCCATTGCCGAAGTCTTCTCCCGCATTGACCACAAGTTCGATCTGATGTACTCGAAGCGTGCCTTCGTCCACCACTACGTTGGAGAAGGCCCACCATGGAGGGTGGTTAGGGTCCAACGTTTAGGGCCTCCAACTCTTAGATCAGGTTTGGGGGATCCGGTGTCCCATCTGATTAAGAGAATTGTATGGAGCGGGGATGCGTTCTTCGCAAACTCAGTGCTCAGCCCTCCAAAATGTCCCGGGCAACCATTGACCCCCTAAACCCTAAGCGCTACAGCCCTTAACCCTAAACTAAACCTTGCACCGCATACGGATCTTGTACTACCCCCACCCAAAAGCCCCAGGGTCTAGGGTTTAGGCTTTAGGGCTACTGCCCCCACGCAAAAGCCCCAAAATTAGGGGTATTTTCTTGGGGGTCCCCATAATGAGGATCATAGTATATTGGGGGTACATAAGGGGAACGCTAATTTTGGGAAACCACCAAATATGGCACAAATGAGGTCGGATGAAGGCTGGCTTAGATTTAGGGCTCATTTGGATCTTTTTTTTTGTGCGCAGGAGGGCATATGAGCACAGTTCTGATGGCGGTAGCGAAACCCACATCCCCGAGCACGAACACAAGGGTTTTGGGGCTTCCCTGTCATTATCTGCGTAGCCAAACAAGCACAACCAAAATGGTTCTGCCCAAAGCCACGACCCTAAACCCGACTATGATGTTGTTTGGGAAAAACTAGTTCTTATACATTTCTGGTTGTTGCGCTAGTGATGTTTTTGCCTGCGGTTTCTGCTGTTCATGAATGGCTTTGGCTTCTGGTAGTATATCAGCAGCATTATGGCCAGCATTTGGATTACTACTCGTTTAAAATCATGTAGCCCTGACATTCTGACGTTTTCTGCGATCGTTGGTTTTGGCAATCATTACGATTATGTGTGACAAGTTTGCCGTTGTTTGCCCGTCATGGCTTCGGATCATTGCAAACCCGAAACCCTAGTCAGTAGGGTTTTATGTGGGATGCTATGGTACCCAATATAGAGCAAGATTATGTCCTCCTTCTGGGTGTCGTATTTTATATGAAGAACATTCTCCTACTGGGTTCAACCGCCAAAGAGCTACACGCTAGCAGAGAGGACCATGGTGGGGTAAACACCCATAGCAACACCCATTGATAAACCCCTGAACTGAATCCCAAACCCTGAACGCTAAACCCCTGGACCCTAAACCCTAAACCGTGAACCTCGAATCCTAAACTCTGAACCCTAAGTCCCCTAAACCCTAAATCCTAAAACCTAAACCCTAAACCCGAAGCTCTTTGGGTTCAGGCTAAATCCTAATGCGAGTCTTGACAGGAATGGAGGAAGGCGAGTTCTCTGAGGCTCGCGAGGATCTAGCGGCCTTGGAGAAGGCCGTGGCTTTACAGTCCCCCTTAAGTAGATAAAAAAGGACTCTATATATTAGGGATTCGATATGGGGTTCTATTAGGGGTTATATAGGGGTCATATGAGGG